AAATTTTTTGACTTGAGAGCTTTAGACAGTGTTCCACTGCGGATTGTTTGGGTTTTTTTCTCCCTCCAATAGCTAGATGGGCTACAATGCCTTTTTGGCCTGTTTTTATTTGGCTTGGGATTAAGACTCTCCTTTCCATGCCTGTTCTTATTTGTAAAGACAGACTAGTTTATTTTTTCCACCTCCAGGAATAAAAGAACTTTTTAATCAAAATCCAAAATGACAAAAGATAAATTTACTGCTTTTTAAACAGACATCTGCTTACTGTATTATAAATTGGTAAATAAAATTAATTCAGGCTAGTTACGTGTTGTTTACAGGGAAATAGATCTTGGTTTTGTCACATAAAAAATACAGATAATTGATTGCACACCAAATAAATTAAGAAATTTGCTAGCTTTTGTCTTTGCATCATTAGCATACAACCTGGGTGTGTTTTAATGGATTTTTTCAAAATTCCTACCCAGTGTTACATTCGTCATTAACATTCTGATGCAGTAGTTGTATACTCAGCATATTTTTCTCTTGACAAGCCATAAAGAACTCACCATGTATATTTAGGTAATAAGTTTGATGTAGTCATTTTCATATAAACTGTTGGAGTTGTAACCAACTTCTGGACAACCTCAGCAAATCCTTTGTGGTGTAAGCAAGCTTTGCCACTCAATTAGTGTGCTGAGAAAGGATTCCCAGAAAGAATGGAATCACTTTCTCTGTTTTCTGCTCCACTATTTGGAGAGTGTTTTCTCTTTGGATGGAAAATTGCTATAATCAATTGAATCCCTGGTGCTGAAAAGGTCCCAAGCACACCGAAAGGGCTGAGCCCAGCTGTTGTTGCTGTGTGCTGACCCAAGGAGCCTGGCTTCTGGAGCAGCCTCGCTGGCAGGGCAGGCTGCACAGCCTCGTGTGGTCCATGATGTAGATCCTCCATTTTTCTAATAAAATGTGATGCCTCAGGTTTTAGCTTTTATATTTTTCAGATTCCGTACTGCTTTAGTGTGTGGGTCAAGGCTTCATATTAGGAGATGGTGAGCTCTCTTCACAGAGTGGGTAGACAAAATATTTCCTTCTCTAGCTGGGGACCAAGGACAAATGATCCAAATCTCAGGCCCAAGAGCATAAACAACATGGACTGGAGAGAGAAACGCAAGAAGGGTGGGACTTCATGAGCTAAAGCTCTAATTGGACAATGAATTCCAATCTGCAAATGGAGCAGAACTTATACAAGTGAGAGACCCCATGACTGGTCATGCATTTTGTGACCATTTTGGCTTCACCTTGGGTGTAGCCCAGGCTGGGCTCTTGTGCTGCCCAAGGTGGATCTGTTGAGGCCTTCTAATAAATCCCTACTTTATTCTTTAACTCTGTCTAGTCTCTGTTCCAGGTCAGCCTACACAAGGCATCAAATGCAGTGATAAAACAACTTTCCCTTCTATTATTGAAATGCTAGCAAGAAAGGGATTACCAGAAAGAGGTCTCTAAGGTAAACACAGATACCTAAAATCCTCTCCCCCAAAGGTAAGCCAGGGAGCCCAGCTGTGAGTCTCACCAGACCTTCAGAACAACTCCTCCCACGCTCAGTTGTAAGTTCCTTCAGCAAACCAGCTGGAATTCTTTTGCCTGCATGTACTACTGAGCCTTTTCCCCCCACAAGCCTGCTTAATTATACAAGGAAGTGCCTAGCAGTCCTTGTGGAGATGTTGCTTATCTGAAGTGTTCCTTCCCCTTCCTGCTTGTCTTTCCTGACAGCACCCATTAGGCTGTGGAACTGTATTCAAATGTAAACATTCCTACCAGCCATGTCAACACAGTACATTCATGAATTACTGGGCAGTTCCAAAATCAGGGCAGCAGGAGACTGGGAAGGGCATTTTGTACAAGACCAGAACAGTGGTGGGCATGTAAGCTCCACAAAACATCATTTTTCCTCACTTAAAATTAAATATGCTTTGCTGTCATTTATTCAATATTTTCACTCTATCACTGACCACATATTATATTACTACTGTATTAGACTAACATTCTTTAGTGTCTATTGGGCAACATCCTTTTAAGCCTAGCAGACATTTCTGCTTATTGATTTTCAGTAAATAAAATTCATTCAGTGTATTAAGTTCCATATTCTCAGAATTTATAGAGAAACTCTAAGAAGGTAATTCAAGCATCACATTTCTCCTCCTCTGAGCTTATCACAGCATTTCATATTTTATACTATACACACATTTATAGCCTCTTTATCAGTTATGAGACTGTTTTAGACACTTAAATTATCCAGATTAAACTGAGGCATTTTTTCCAGCAGTGGGAGTTCAAGCTCAGATACTGTTGGCTAATAAGGAGAGAAAGCAGGGAAACCAGCTGTTGCAAGACACTGAACTCTTCCCTTTGATCATCCTTTACTTGATTCACAGCCAAAACTAATCATGTAGGTTTAGCAGAAGATAACAAAGTTTAGTGGGTGACAGAGAAATGGAGAATAAGCAATGTCAGTCACAGCACAGTGCCAACCTTCTATTCCCATAGGAAGACCACCACCCAAATTCAAAGCACTCTTCCAGTCCTCTTTGGGATTGACTATGATGCTCTAAAAGACATTTCTCATGCCCTTACAGCAAGGGAAATAGGACAGACAAATGGGAGAACAGTGTATAATAAATTTGGAATATTATTAATATTTTACATATCAAATAATTTGAATTGTAGTTCTCAGATTTTTTTTTCTAAACCGGTTTATTCTACAGTTAATGTCTCCTATCTTCAGGCTGTCTTGCTTAGAAATCTTTGATTATGTACTTTTCCTGTAGGAATTCTAGAGATGCAGCAGATTGTAGAGTCTACTCACCAGTGCATTGAGTCATATCACTCCTTACTCCTTTCTTATTTCAGCACATTAATGGTAACTTTATCAGACAATTTCCATAAAAAAATAATTCTGATTATTTCATTGAATTCTTGATGTAATTTTGACTCTTAAAACCACTTATTAGATTTCCTGCTGTATAGCATGGTACTCTTCCAGTACAATATTTTCTAATAACTTAGTATTAGAAATAACTAACACAGTCACCTAACAAATCCCATTTATGGTACAATAACATTATTGTATATGTTAAAATATATATTCTATGAAGATAGGATAAACATGGGAAGTTTAGGAAATACAGAAACAATAAAGATAAAAGAGACTATTTAATGTCATTACCATTTTTTAAGGAACTGTCAGGGAGAAGACTGTTTCATATAATGAATCAAAGGTTATATTAACTTAAATTCCTTCAACTTCTGCTCCTGCCTTTCAGGCATGAAATAAATACATACAATGCAGGAAATCTTTTCAAATTCAAAACCTAAACACACAGGCTGTATCTGCTCTGGTATTTATATTTACCTATCCACAGAGTATTTACACAAGTGATGCTGTATGTGCACATAATGCTGTTAGCATGCACAATGCAAATGGGCAACAGCCTTTCTGACAAGACAGATAAAAACCAGGTAAGAAAACTTCAAACTTCACCACAGTTCTGGCTTCTTACATTTTAACATAAATCTTCATATTTCTATCAAAGGATTCATTTGGATTTTTAAATATTTAATGATGATCTCCCTCTTTTTCATTCATCATCTTGAAAGCACTTCACACTTCAAAAAAGGCAAGGAAATGATGTTGTTTTTACTCTGCAAATGTAGAAATCAAGGCACAAACGAATGTTTTTTTCAGCTCTGTTATTTCAAATTTCAAATTTCTTCATTAAATTATGCTGGTGTCCACCAAAATGTAAAGCCATTTCTTACACTCCTTTCTCTTCCAAGTTACCTGTCACAGTAAGTAGAGCCTTGAAAATCAGCTTGCTCAGCTTTTTAAAACTGGGATCCACACAATGCTCTTGTACTTTCAAGTGGCACTCCCTAAGAAAGGTGCTACTAAAACTGAGTTTGCCCAGATAAAACATAATACAAAAACGGAGTGATTGTATTATGCTAAAGGTATTTATCACTGCACAATTACACAGTGGATATACTGGAGGAAGAATAATATTGATTAAATGGGAGTACTGTAAACATGCCAATGTGTCTTACCATTACAATTTGTGAAATGAAGAGAGGACTCAATGTTTCTGAATTTTTATCAAAAGCTCTTTATTTTATAAAAATCACAGGATTAATTTAAAATCTTAACTGATAAGAATTAATCAGAAATTATCTAACTTCAACTTGATGATTCAGAAATTAACTTGAATAGTCACACACCAAATGAGTTAGCCAGTGAACACTAATGAACAGGTAGAGCTTGGTTTAATAACTGTGTGTGCCCACGTTTGTCCAAGAGCTGAACCCTACATCCACAGACTAATGCTGTCCTTGCCACAATGACATTCTGTATGAGGTACTAACTATAGGATACCTTCAAAATTATTTTCCCATTTAAAGCCAGAAAACTGCACTGACCTTCCACCAACCAGAGATTCTGAAAGCCAGTGAGGACTTACTGAGCTTCTTCCATACTGAGCAACACTGAACAGCATCTGAATCCTTTTCTTCTTCAGCCTGACACAGACTTTCACAGGGTAGTTAATTACTCTTGGCTCTTCCTGTGGTAGCTGACAGATATGTCTTGAAACTGGCCAGCTAGATACCATCTAAATTTTTCTCTTTATCTCCCTGCCAACCATGAGGGATGTCCACTGGGATCTTCCAGATTAACTTCAGAGATCTGCCTTTTATCAATATGGCAAAATTAATCCACCAGTAGGCTTCAGAAAATACAGTTCCCTTGAATTCCAGGTGCTGGGTTGGGATCCCTTTCCCTGATCTGCCTAATCCTTTCTTCAAATGAGTTATCAGGAGTCATTATATACCAGAAATTACTTTAAATAAAGTAATTAAGGATAAACCCCATTAACAGAAAGCAAATGAATTAGGAAAAACTTGTGTAGGCTCAGCATTAAGGCTGAATGTGACTCAGTCTGTAGAGACTGAATGAAATAGCTCAGACTGTGTTTCCTCTTGCAATTTTGCTTTCTCACATGAAAAACTTACTGAACTCTCTTGTGGTTCAGCAGGAGATACACTGACCACTGGTTCCATATTTACTGTGGAGCTGCCAGGTGGCTGTTCTGGATGGAAAAGGAAGTCCAGGTCAGGATCTGTAGGACTGCAATGCAGAGGGGAACCAGACAGACCAGGTAGAACATGGCATCATGGAGATCTAAAAATGACCTGAAACAAATAAGAAGTCAGCTTTCACTATGAAGATTAACTTCCATGGTCATTAAACAAGTTATTTTAAAATCATTCCCATTATAAACACATAGACATGCTATGTATTTATCTGTACAGTCAATTCTACATAAAAGAAATAGAAATACCTTGTGTATTTTCTAATTTTACATACAGATATGTATTATATATTGCTTTCTCTAGGTGGGAGGAATTCAGACAATTAGCACACAAAGAGTTAATTTTAATACAACCTAAGAAATCCTGTTGACTACTTTCCTGATTATGTAATATAGACATCAATTTAAGCAAATTTCATTCAGTTATAGAACAGAGCATCCAAAAAACTTTAAAAAGATAGAAAAAACTGAAAGAGAAACAAATGTAGAAAATGAAAGCAAACATTTGAACATGAAATTAATTTATTTGAATTGAAATCTGTGCTACTTACTATCCACATAATGTGATGTTTCAGATGCTGAATGCTAGATAGAGGTAATGATAATTGCACAAAATTCAGGTGTGGTTTCAAGGGCCATTTGAACTATCAAGCCTTATTTCATTTGGTTTTAAAATAAATGATTACAAGATAATATAATCCAAAGAAAGAATAAATGTGAAATTGACACTAGTTTTCATTTTTTCTAGTGAATGCATGGCATTTCCTCATTTAAATCTTCTCTAATGAAAAATAAATAAAAGCATCAGCAAATATGAATGAAGAAAGAAAATACAGGAATTAAATGAGCTCCCTTTTGTGAGCAGTATGGTTTCTGACAGCTCAAAGCATGCATTTTGGCATTCATCTAGTAGGAATCATTATCTACTTGCATTCTGTTAATTATGGGATTCTAATTACTTAAATATCAGGAAAGTCAACTCAAGCTGAGAAACAGCCCCTAAGTGAACTTTCTCTCCATGAGGCAGTTTATGTTCCTTTCTAATTTTTTTCCTTAGCATTCAGGAATGAGATAAGAGACTCACAGAAAAGCTATGGACATGGTCCAAAAAAACTGAAATCTGTGAAAAATACCCCAAACTTTGAGCAGGTTTCTGAATAAAACCTACAAGCTCCTCTGAATCATGAAAAAATCAACTAATGTCTCACTCAGTTTTACAGAAAAAATGTTTGCAAGCTCCAGCAAAGCCCAGATTCTGTCCTTAGTACAGACCCAGGCTCATAAATGAGCACAGTTTATCTCAAACCATGTACATGCTAATGCTACATAAGAAAACAAAAGCCCACAGGCTCACAAGTGAATCACTTAATCACTCGGGCAATTGCATTTGTGACTGGAAGTGTTCACTAGCAGGCCACTGGTCCATAGCCAATGTTTATTGGCAGTGGCAATAATTTACCATTTAGACTTGTTTACTGGCCTGTGTCCAACTGCATTTCCAGTGCACCTACAGGGGAAGGAGCCCACATCATGCACAGCTCTGGCTCAGCTGCCCCCAGGGACTGCAGGAGCAGTGCCAGCAGGGAGGCCACAGACACATTATTTAACCACCTAATGATGAGAACAGGACCCAGACACAGTTGACAGGATGTTGGGGCTTGCATTTGGCCTGTTCTGCACACTAAAGAGGATTGCAGTTTTCAGTGCTAACATTATTCCATCTTTACACAAAGAACATCTGCAAAATCACTCACACGCTGCAATCCTGATTTGGTTTCACTGGAACAATGCTGATTTAAGACAATAATATTACCTATTGTACTGTAAAACTTTAAGTTATCACGGGAATTATGAAAAAGTATCTATAATACACAAAACAAGGCATGGGAAAATATTTCATTAAGGGACTGGGATAAATCATGAGCAGAGTTTGGATTTTATCACAATTACAGCTGAACAAGTAACTTCAGAAATTTCCACATCTACCCTTTTTTTTTTTGCTTACACAGGAATAAAACACACAGTGTTTCCCTAAACAACCCTAAAATCACTCTGAACAGAATGTCAAGTAGTTCAGTAATTCAATATGAAAGCATTAACAGTTTAAAGTGCCTTCAATAAATAATGAAGAATTGATGCCAAATAAATTTATTCTGAAGAACGAATTTGAAAAGCACTCTCAAGAGAAGCTGGTGGTAGTTGCAGTGGCTCTCCAGAAGAGGGAGGTTTTAAACTAGGCATCTTGTCCATAGCAAACTAAAAAAAAAAAAAAACAAACCAAACAAAAAAAAAAAAAAAAAAAAAAAAAAAAAACAAAACAAAAAAAAAAAAAAAAAAAAAAAACCCAAAAAACCAACCAAACAAACAAAAAAACATACAAACAAACAAAAAAACCCAAACCCAAACAAGAACAAAAACATCTCAAGCCATACAGGGCACATACTGCTGTCCTATGATGATGGAAGAAAGGAAAAATCAGGACACTCCATTCTCCAAAGTGTTGCTCACATTTTAAAGATATTAAAAACCACTTTCCATGACAAAGTGCTTAACTTCTGTGCAGTGACCACATTTCCTAAGGATGTGGCACAATGTGTGAGCAGAGGGGAAGGATCACCTTTGCCCTGCTGCAGGACTTTGGCTAATTCCAGTGCATTTCTCCAGCCTGAGATCCCCCGATGGCACTGTCACCCTCTGTGCAGGTGCCACAGCCCCAGCTTTGTGTCATCCCCAAACTTCCTGAGGGTCCATCCTGCCCCATCATCCTGGTCATCAGGAATGCAGCCCAGGCAGGCAATCAGGCAATCTCCACTGCCTTCCCCTGCCCACCAGGCAAGTCATTTAACTGTAGAAGTTTATCAAGTTGGTCAAGCATCACTTCCCCTTGGAGGAGCCATGCTGGCTATTACTGATGATTTTATTGTCCTTACTGTGCCTGGAGCTTTCCAGCATTAGCTGCTCCCATCATTGTTGCTACCATTTAGCTCTCAGTTCAAGAAAAAGTAATAATTATTAGTAAAATAAATTATTAAAAAGAATTCACAATGCAGCAAATAGTGTATAGACTGCATATTCTGCCTTGTCCCAGTAAACAACATTGCTGGAAACTCTTCAGACATATTTATTGAGGGCCCAAACATTTTGTTAATGCAGAATAAGGGCCCTCTGTACTATCTTCACAATTCACTGCCACTACACCTAATAAAGCAAATGCTTTCCAGAGCATTTAATAGATATTGCCAGCTTTGGAGAAAGAGGAAGGACAGAGCTGAGACTGTATTGGCATGGGTCATAATACTTCATTTTATATAATTCATGTGTGAGAAAAGCTTTTTTTTTCCCAAAACAATTTGGGCACATTTTAAACAATCTCTTGTATTTAATTTCTGTTTGTCCTCAAACAACTTGGTCCTGGGGCAAGTGTATTTTAACTGTCTGCCTATGGCTGAAATGCGAGATCAGCCAATAGGCTTTTAATATATATAAGTAGTTTTAGCTCAGTCAATGGTCTCAGAACAGTGCCAAGGGCACAATGACTCCCTGGAAACAACTGAGCTTTCTGATCTTCACAGATTGTGTATCAACCCTGCACTCCATATGCAAGCACAGGAAAACCCATTCACACACTACATATACAGGAAACACAGGCAAACTGCTTCATATTTAAGAAATTATTTTTGAAAGGATTGGCAAGAGAAATACTATTTCAGGTGCTCTGATCCACTAATCTCAGCTTTGTATGCTTTATGCTGTTCCTGGCTCTAGTGAAATAAATAAAATTTCAGCATTACTCAAGTGAAAACACAGGATTTATAGATGGAGCATTCCAAGTATTTCAACCTCTATATAATAAATTCATTGTTGCTATAGTCCAGGGGCTATTTACCAGGCAAAAAAGATTTATGACTACTGTGATTTAAAATCCATCCACAAAGGGATAATTTCTCTGACTGAAAGGGATCAGAACTGCAGTTTTTATGTTTCAAATCTGAATTTCTCTGAATTATCAAGATGAATATATTCAGCCCTCTCATATCCACATCCAGTTCAACCTACCACTCTTCTGCAAAAATCACTCATCTTATTTGACATTATAATGAGGTTCATGTCCTCTTCACATCATCTCACTGGCTATCTACAGAATGCATTAAAGTAAGCTGTTCTCACACATAACCTCAAACTTAAGCTGCCTTTGCTTCTGTCTGGATGCATTTCTGAAGACCACCTGTTGTTCTTTTATGTCATACTTGTCCTCATACATTCTTTTAGAAAATTCCTCAAATATGGAATGTTCTCCTAACCTTAGGTGACTCTCTATAACCAGACTTCTCTCCCTCAGGAGGTATCTCCACAAAAGTTCATATAAAATTGTGTTTATCTGTTCCTTTAGGTTTTTACTAAAAGTTTAGGAGAGCTATGTAGCTCTCAGGATATTCAAGTTGTACCTTCAAGTAAATCCTAATCAGGACTGAATTTTCCATTTAGCCCTGACTTCAGTTATTCCTTATGTTGCCACTTCCTCCTGATGGTCATAAATACAGCCTGTGACCCTTTCAGTGTGGCTATTCCCTGTTAATTTATTTTTATAAAAGCCCACACATGTCCAACTAACCAGCAACCACAACTTTATGCTGTTTTAAGGCCTCCAGGGTCTGCAATGAAATCATTAGCATTAGAATGGTAAGGAGTATTGGAGCCAAAATGATACACTCCTACTCAAGGCAAAGTCTTTCTCTCCAGTGATTATACTGCTTCCTCTCAAACAGAAAAAAAAAAAAAAAAGATCTGATTTAACATTATATATTGTATATTTAAGGAAGTAGGTTTATGAGGTAAACAAAATGCAGATGCCAGGACAACGTGTATCTTAATAAGAGCTATTAGGTGATCTCAAACATTTTCTTATTTTATTGCAAAAAGCAAGGGGATGAAAGATATCCTTTGCTTTTCAAAATCAGGCAGATATCCTCATGTACACTGTTTAATAAATTATTTACTCTTTAAAAAACATTTGTACTTCTACACAAACACAGCTGATAAGTATTTTAAAATGTTTATGTTTTTGAAGTTGATGCAAAGTAATTGCTGATCAAATTTATTTTTAGATTACAGAGTATTTAATGATATTTTCTAAGATTTAAAGTATCTCTTTTGACTAACCTTATATCAGGATGACCAGGTACATTATTCAGGTTATAATATCCATAATGATTTAGTACTGTAACCACAACCATTGGAGCCAAAGATTGGGCAGGCTTAGTAAATAAAGCATTGGTACCAAAAACCATAGAGGAAAGTGGTAACCTAAAATATTTGGGGAAAAAAGAAATTAATGCACAACACAAACTTATTAGTGTATTAATTACAATTGTAATTTTAAAAAGCTTGAAATCTTGTTAATGTGCAAATCCTAAATATCATGATCCTTAGATGTATCTAGTTCACACATTATAGCAAAGAGATCTACTCTCATAATGGAATTTAAATTTATTTGGAAATTAAAGGTTACAAACCTCTACAGGGTGTGTGTATGAGTCTATATATATGTCTACACATATATACATAGACACAGCTTGGCCCTAATTCTGAAGTGACTTATACTTAAATTCAACTTTGTGCACTTTGAGTAATTATTGAAGTTAAATTAGACTGAACAGTGCATGGAGAATTAATTACAACTGAAGATTTTGCATGCATAGGCCAGAAAATGAGGCAATTTTTTCCTCATGAAAGCAACAGATCTTCCATTTGAGGGGTAAGTTCTTTAACAGGAGTGAACCTGCACTTACATAACAATTGACTGAACCAACAGGAAGTTATGTGCACTTTGATAAAAATCCAAAAGATCAGTGAGTTGCAATATACTATTCTGCAGCAGGTTTTATCACTTTTATTTCAGGGAGATAAAGGAACCAGTTAGACTTTGAAATCTGCATTTTACCTAGCATAGGCAAAGCTTTCTTAACACCTTTTCCATCTTGGAAAGGCCTCATTCAGAAAATTCCATACATGATCATAGATGTACCTGGTTACAAAGTAATTCAATTGGAGCTAACAAAAATAAAGCCACAAAAATTGGAAGGACTTGGGTTATATTATAGTATAAGAAAAAAGCGAAATGACCTAATAATCTGTTCAAATGACTACTGGAGGAACTGCAGGAAACTTTACTCAAGTTCTGATCTTCACTTATGCTAAGTTGTTCTCACAATAAGTACTCCTATATCAAGGATCCCAGATAATTTACTGTCTTTACATTGACATAATTTATTACTAAAGAGTAACAAGGCAAACAGCGTGTTTAAAAAAATGGTAATGACTGACATACCTCCTCTTGTGCTTTATTAAATCTGCATCAACAATATCTGCCAAAGGCAAATTGAACAAGCTAAATGAAGCTTGCACAATTATCCTAAAGAAAAAAAAATATTGAAGATGTTCACAGTTCTTATATTCACCTTATAATGAAATTGTAACTGACATTCTAACACAAACACACCAACACAGATATTCTGCAAGCACACAAAGCTGAGATGTTCCTTAAAACATGAAAGCATTACCAGATCTGTTTTTAGTTGAGATTTAGAAATCAATATGCAAACCTAGAAGTGGGGGATTTTCTTCTTTTTTTTTTTTTTTTTTGCTGGACATTGGTGTAAAAGGTAATGAAAACTGACAATAAATTTACATTATCAGTAAATGTCATTTTAAATGATCAGGAGAAAAGAAACACCTCAGAAAAAGGGGAAACTGAACATTTGCTCTTGAAATTTGGAAAAAACGTGACTATGTGGAAGATAAACTTCAAGGTCTAAGAATTAGAATAGAAAGAACAGTTTGCATGCATTCCTGTATATATATTTACAGTGTATATAGATGTATATAGATATGCAACATACACATACAAACACACACATACAAAGCTGACTTTTAACAAATGGCCAAATTAAACAATAAACTCAAATATTACAATTTCTGTGTCATTAAATTTTGGGTGTGATGAGCTTTTACTAACAAGGTACTTTGAACAACTAGCACTTTAAACATACAGTCTTTAGGTACCTCAGAATTTTTTTCTTGTAGAAATCAAAACACATCTTCATCATTTAAAACATGCAGATAACGAAATTCAATTTATTGTTCACACAATTCAGTGTTAGAGTATCCCACAACTGCAATACTGAAAATAAGAAAGAAAATGGGGTGGGGAGGGAAAGATGAAGAAAAAGAGAGCAGGAAAGACAACAACAGAGAAAGACAACAATGAAAGAGAACATGAAGAAATAAAAACAAAGTGCTGTAACAGTATTCTGAACAAACAGCTCTTTATGTTGAAATAAGGTTTTTCATGTATTATTATATATTTATGTGAAAATACCACTGCTTGGCATCTTAGTACTGAGCACCAGTGGGAGTGGGCTTGTTGCTGGTTACCCAACAGACACCCGAGTTACCCAGATCTGCCTGCAGTGCAGCACACAAGTGTTCCTGCAACACAGGGGGGGCTCTGAGCTTTCCCAGCAAGCAGCCCCTGGGGAGAGAGACTGTTTCCTCTGCTGAGCTCTTCCATGTCTGTGGAAAACATGAGATTCTCCTTCCCTTGTATCTCAGGTTAAAGTGACTGGAGGCATGTACCTGCAAACCGTAATTGCTGTTTGCATTTTAGGCTTTTTTATTTCAAGCAGAATATAAAAGCTGGAACAGAATAAAATGAAAGACAAAAAAAAAAAAGTTATAACTGGAGTTTCAATTTTTCTGGTAAGTGAAACAGAATGAAAACCATGAAAGCAGAGGCAGAATCTTCATGATAATAAAAGCAAGTATCTACTCTATTAGAAGTATTTCAGCTGTGTCTATAAACAGGGGAGTGGATTTACTTACATGTTTGTTGTGACATAAAATGCCAGCAGATAATAGTGTTCTTGCCCTAGAAGACACATGACAGCAGCAGCTATTCCTTCATAGTAAAAGGAAAACAAGATAATTCTGTAATAACCAAACTTCTTCAATGAAGCATGACTGAGAAGAACAAGGCACTGAAAAGATAACATATACACATACAGGATGAAAAGATACATACAGTATCTCAGCATTAGGAGAATTATAGAACACAAACCTGGCATAATTAATACCCTTTAAAGAAAAAAAAATGCAAAGAATGACCCTTTCTAAGAAGTTCAACAAAATAAAAAAATACAAATTGAACAAAGACAACTCTCCACTGGCTCATTCTATGCCACTTCTACTAGGTACAGTCTCCTTTCACTCAAAAACTAGCCACTGAGAACTGCTATACTGCTATATCCTGAGGAAAACAGTTCCCCACAATGCCTATTATTTAAAACTTATGATCTTTACTTTTGATATCCCTTAAAGTATTAGCTTTGCAGTATGATAACTAAATCAAGCATCTTTCCATGAAACAGCTGAAAAGATGTATTTTCAGTATTTACTTTTTCATTAATATTAATATTTTCATTGACATTTATAGAAATGAAGCAAGATTTTTAAGTTGTCAAAGCAAGCTCACCAGGACAGCTTTAACTAAGCAAGTTAGAGGCTTTACTAGCAAATAGAGAAAGGCAGAGGCCAGTGCTTGTGCATGACTGAGTTTTAATTTTGCCAGTCTTGGCAAGGAGTAGATTCTGAATATCTAGTGACTGGCTAACTCAAGAAAATTAAGTGCTCATTATAGTATGAACAAAATTTAAGTTCTTCTACATTGTTCCTCACTTTTCAGTTTCAGTGGGACATTCTGTAATGAATTATGTTCTTTTTATTATATGGGCCTTTGTCACCATCTACATGGTCCTCATGTCTGTCACAAATATACAAACTGTATACAGATCCACACTTTCTCCTTTTTTCTGTGTTACAGAGATGAACTGTGTAATATTCAGATGAAGAACAGGAAAGAATTTTCTTTGTACAATTGTTCCCACACCGAACTGCTTTAACATAACAAATAAAACCAGGATGCTCCAGTCAGACAAAGATTACCACAGCAAATGCTATTGTATAAAAAGCTCAAGATTTCTGCTTGATCAGGGAGGCAAAACTAATCTGGAAAGGTGATCTAAGAAAAATATCTTCTTATAAGAAATTTAAAACATACTCCTCCCCCTGGCTGTTTTCAGGCATTTTGTTGAAAAGTGCCTCCACTAGAAATATTAAGGGATCATGTAATGCCTGCAACTGTAAACACTATGTTCCTGTCTCCCTGTAATTGTAAAATAACCCTGTCTCAGGAAGTACTTATGACTTAGAAAATTCCTCACTACTTGTACGTTTTTAAGACTGTGTGTTTATAAGGAAAATACTAACAATGATGCAAATTCAAAGTTGCTTGTCTGTGTTACAGCAGCGTTTTCCTTGTGGGCAGGTTGTGCTCCTCACACCCACTACTAGAAGAAACCTAAGTCAGAAGCTGAATTCTAGTTTAGCAAAGGCCACTGAAGCAGAGTTCATAAAAAGGAGCTTTATTTTACAAGGGTCGTGTGTTTTTCCAGTAAGTGAAGTTCAGGACATTGCCATTAGAGAATTCTCTTATTGTATCTTGAACTCAAAGGGACAAAACCTGAGAAAAATAAGGTCACAGCAAACCCTCTACGGTTCAGTGACCTTCTAGACAAAGAGTCTCTGGGGAGCAAGACAGAGATGCATTTTCTGAAAGATTGTTCTTTTCACACTGTCACACTGATTTTATCAATAAAAGTGATTGCTATATATTAAGTGTAAAATTATTTAAACTTTCCTAACTTCTGTAGCCTCTGATTTATTTCCAAAGTTCATTACCTAAATGCCTGAGGTACAGATGAAAACACCAAAACTATTAAACCTGTGATAAGGACAAAAGTTGAAATTATAGATAGTTAGGAGTTATGGAACAGAAGGTATTTCAGGATCTCTATGTTTTATATGCAAAAGCCAAAATGAGAACTGAAATTGAGCTGTGAATTCCAGTTGCATTTTCATACATCTTCTTATACATATTACTTATCAAAACCCATTACAATTCAATGAATATAACAGCCTGATTTTAAAAAATTCTGAACACCATCAGCACCTATGATGAATGTCAGAATACTCATATTTTGAGTATCCTAACTTTCAACGTCCAAAAAGTAAACACAGAGAATTTGTTTTTTAAATCTAGAGGAAGAAGTTAGAAGGCAATGAACAAAAGAATTTTTTATTTACTGCAGACAAGTATGGTCTCTGGGATGTAGTTTTGCTGCTCTTCTTGTTCTCACACATTACTCTTTTGGGTTCTCTTTCTCTTTTCAGTTCATTATTCCTCCCCTCATCCCTGACTGGGCTCTTAAAAGTATGTCTCTCTTCCCCATAAATACTATTGACCAAGAGACCAATCAACAAAATTAATGGGAATGTATTATTCACCAAAAGCAGCTATTTAGAGTTTTGTTTGGTTTCCATGACTTAGATACCACATATTTTAACAATGCTTTTCATACTTAATAATTTTTTTCTGGTATTTTGTGCATTTTATTTCAGAAACTTCCTGAAGAAGAGCTTAGTCTTTCATTTGTAATACACACATTGGAAAACAAAACAAATCAAAGAAAGAATTCAGAATTATGTCAATTTTGCTTCAGAAACATTTGATCTTGGCCATGTTTTTCATTCCTTTATGCTGAGGTATTATAAGCAGTGGAGGATACAAAACATTCATTCCTTGCCTACTCAAGTCTCACATTGTTTTAAACACATGTTCTACCAGCCTGTCTGCTCCCTCTACCTCTTACACTCGATCAGCCTACACAGAGGTACTTTCTTCTTCTAGAGCACTGGGGAGTGAGACTTGGTACTCATTTTGGCAAAAGCCTTATGCCAAATACAGCATTTTTTCAAGCATTAAATGAATACTGTGAGCTACCAAAACACCAGGTTTTCATATTTAGAAATAAAGTATGACTGCCTACCTGAGGACAAATAAAACCTGCTCCATACATGATACTTCTTACTGAGGAAGAAAGGACATCCTTAGGAATAAGATTATCCGCAAAGATCATCATAAAATTGTTGTAGAAGGCTAGGTGGAAGACTTGGAAGAAATTCATTGTTACAAAACATAGAAAGTTCTTCTCTGTCATGATCTGTTTCGTCAATGAAACCACTGAGGCCAAGGAGAAAGCTCCATCCCTGTTTTCCAGATTAGCATCCTCAGTATGAATTTCCCTCTGCTCGTACTGACTTGTGCTGCATTTACCTGTGCAACACATACAAACTGTCGCGAGCGCTGCGATCAAAACGGTGAAAGCCTGAAAATAAGCGAAGTTTTCCATATTATCCGACACGAGCCCGCAAAAGAGAACGCTCGTGGAGCCCAGCAGCGTTGCCACCTGGTTGTACCTGATGAGCTGGAGCCTGCCCTCGTGCCTGCTGGGGCTCTCGGCGAAGAGCGCGCACTGCGCCAGCAGCACGGAGGTCAGCAGCCCGTCGAAGGCGCACAGCGCGGCCGCCAGCTGCAGGCCGCCCACCCAGTCGCCCTCCTCGTAGCGCCGCCAGGGGAACCACGGCAGCAGGAAGGCCAGGCCGTACAGAGGGGCTCCGTACAAAATGGAGACCTGGCGCCTGGCGCAGCACTTCAGCCTGCAGTTGTCTTGGATGTACCCAAAAAGGGGATTGTTGATGGCGTTCCAGATCATAAACACAACCTGCCACGGACAAGGGAATTTGTCACTGCTGTCGTTCTTCTACAACGTATTTATTTTAAATTAAATCTCTATTCAGACAATAAATGAATACATAGAAAAGCTACTCCGAGTAGAACAAGTCTCAGAGTCTTACTGAAGCTACTTAGGTCTTATTAACAGCTACTTAGAGTCTTAAGAGATACTTAGAATTTAGAGTCAAAACAGACTCTAAAACAAATTCTTATTGGTATTCATAGGTTTATAGAAATTTTGAAAAAATAAAATGAGTAAGTAAGTGGGTGACCAACTACATGTGAAATAAACTGTCTCTAAGACTCCAGTCTTTCAAAACCTTCTATATTTGGGCTTTCATCCTGCAAAGCTCAGATATTATTCTCACAGTCGGTTAATTCAAAACATGAGCTGGCCCATTACTTTCAGGACACCATTTACAACGTGAGTTACTCACATGGATAATGACTTCCAGGATAAATGCAGTATTTAAGCACTTAAACTGTTCATAGGAAAGCACTAATGTCAAACTTATCTATGGACCTGATGTGCAAAATCAGTTTAGAAAATTACTTAAAGCTATGAAATGTAAAAATCTTTTCATCAATTAACTCTGGAGATTTTTACTCTATGGACTGTAAATTATGTGCTTTATATATAAGTTCCATTGCTTACGGATTAACTAAAGTCAAAGATAATTTACTGTTAATTAATTGCAATGATTTCAAAATTAATCTGTCATTAAAAGAATCACTTTGTTGTAATAACACTGACGCACAGCACAACATGGTAATCAAAATATTCCATTGTACAGTACCTGTGCTACATGAAATGCCGTTTCTGAAATTTTGTATCGGTTTAGGAAAAGCTTAACGTAGTAGAAATTAAAAATGCTATTCATCATTCCAGCACCCAAGGTAGTCATAGAATATGCCAATGCATTAGCATGAATTCCCCAAAGAATCTTCATCTTCCAAGAGTACGGTTCTCTTCTTCCTCAAGTTACAAAAGAGAATTACAACAATTAGTAGAATAATTTTCCAAATTAAAATAACATGGGGGATTTGCTCGTTTCAGAGGTGCTGAACTACTGGAGGAAAATGTTCCCATTCTTCCTTTTTTTTTTACAATCAGAAACACATTTTACTGAGTTACAAGACACTGAGCCCAAAATAATAAGTTATTAGGTGACATTTCTAAGTATAATCAGTACTTAAAAGTCAATGGAACAAGTAGACAAAAATTTGAAAGAAACCCTTCCTAATTGATGTATTGACTCCACTTAAAAACCTACTTTTGCAAACACTCATTTTGGTGTAGAGTTCAAAGTAATTACTTACATTTTAGATCTTTCTTGCTAACTATATATTCTTAAAATTATGGACTGTGTTGGAATGAAGTGACTCAACTCCTTATGTATTCCAATGCTATGAATGTCAAGTGCAGCATGCACGTAGGTATTTCTTTCAAAACAAATACTAAATTTTGCCCTTCTGTTTTAAAATACTAATGGTTAAGAAGCCATGGAAGCAATATTTTCACCTAATAAACCATAAAACAATTAAACCAAAACACCTTTAAATTAACATTTCCATGGTATGGAAGAGTGCATGTAAATAAAACGTAGCAAGTAGCAAACACACCATTTTATGTATGCCCAAGTATCAGAGATTTCTTTAATCTGCCATTCAGATATTCAGCCAACAAATTTTTAAGATGCTGATCTTTTCCATCAATTAGCATGTTTGGTGTAAACAGTGCCATGAAAGGAGCCAGCTCCAGGGAATCTCTACCTTTTAAAGCTATTTAATAGCTACCTAAAAGTAGCCTTTGACCATACTTGATTCTATAAGCCCAATACAAAATTACTCCCAGGTATCTGTTTTTTAATTGAGGCTTTATTCATTTTTACATCTGTTGAAGGAAGCTGCCATTAATTTTGATACGTCAAGTTCAAATTTCAGCCTTACTATGCAAAGCTTTACAACCTGCTTTATGTCAATAGTTCACACTTTGCTCCTCAGCATATCAACAATTTTACTGTAAATGCAATTTTCACATGTCCATCAAAACACCTACTTTGAATATCTGCTTGATCAGCAGCTCTATAAGCAGCTCCCTGAATTCCTCATAAAAATAACCATGGAAGAAACAGGAAATGAAAGCCAAGGCTCTTTCCAGCCTTCCTGAGGTTTACAAGGCGGCTGAAGAGAGGAAGGGAGGAACTTCCGAATCACTGGGCAAGGACCATGCCAAAGCCACAATCAGGTAGGGACTGGGAAGATGGAACAGGCAGGTTTTCCATCCCCCCCACCACGGGAAATGAGCTCTTGAAGAGCAAATAAATTGTGGATGCACATTTGCATATATAAGATGCTGTGATATGAAACAATGCAAGGAGTAGGTAACTTCATTTTATAGCTAAGAAAAAAGTCAAGCTGACAAACAACTAGAAGCCTAGCATTCCTTTTATTAAAGCAAATTTGCTTCTAAGAATATGACTGATTTTTAAAAATATTTAAGGATAACCATTATGTATATCTTCAAACTTATTTTTCTGCACCTGTAAAGACAATACATTTTCAGGGGAGAAAATTTTGCATTTTTGCAGCAAGTTTGGTTTCACAGTCTTTTACTGAGAAACCTAAAATGCAGGAAAAGGTTATTGAAAAGATGTAAAATTGAAATGTTTATTTTTAAAAATAAGTTTGATATTAATACGAAAATCATTACAATGAGTATGTTATTGGCAAGTGCCACATTTGCTTTTTCAAGCCTTCACAAATATACTTAATGGAATTATTTATATAGTGGATATTAGGGCTTTTGGAAAAGTAGACACTTCACTTCTATTTCTACCTGGAGCACCCTGCACAAGTCTTCAAAATGGAGAACTCGGAAACTTTACTTTCCTTCAAATTCCACAAGCACCAAGAATACAAGTGCTTCACACTAACTTTACCAGCGTGAGTTCTAAATTGTTTTACTTGATTCCTTCTGACACAAATAAAAAAAAAAAAAAAAAAAATTGGTCCTCTCAGTTTCAGAAAATTTGAAATAAAAATTTTCTTACAATGCACAAACTGGTCCCTAGTACCATGACTAATTGTAATATGCAGGATCTGACACAACTCTACCCTAATTGGTACATCTGGTCAAGCACCTTGTTTATGAAACAGGTTCAATTAGAAGTTGAGGTACCACACTTCCTTCCCCAGATGTTCCCTTTAATAGCACTACAATGAAATCATGCATGAGCATCCCCTCCCTCTTCTTAATAGTCAGCCTTTATATTCAGCAGGTTAAAGCACTGGTGAACATTTCGTGACTCACAGAAGGCAAATGGGTTTCAGAAATTTCTAGTGGTTACAACCGTGTTAATACTCAAGAGGCCGAAAGAACTGGCTGTTAGGGCCAGTGAGATGCAGTGTCACATTACCTGCGATTCTCCCACAGCAGGATGACAACTGCTAAAAGAAATTAGAGCAAGAGTCTAAAGAAGAAAAGTGGATTCCGAGAGATAATAGCAAACGTTGCCTGAGGGGCACTAGCTGCCATCCTGCTCTGCCGTTCTGGGTCCCAAACCGCTGTGCAATGCTCACAGCCCTGACAGACTGGTTGGACGCACGATCTTCCTCATCCCTCTGACGCGACTGGCACCACATTAGGACGGAGAGCAGAGCGAACGCGGTGCTAGTGCCGAGGGGCAGCGCTGAGGGGAGGCGCTCAGCGGCGCTCCCGGAGGCGGCCGGGCTGCGGCAGCGGCCGGTGCCGCCCCGCCGAGCCCGAGCTGCGGGCTGCACCCTTGGAAGGGCTCCTCTGTCAAAAACAGGGAAGTTCGGCTCGTTTTTCAGCAGATCCCGGGAGAGGACACACGGCTCCCTCCGCTTTGTGCGGTAAAGAGGCGACAGCGAGCGGCGGCCGCTCGAGGGAGGTGCGGGGATGGAGCCAGCCCTCTTCGGACTGCAGGCTCCCCGGTCCGCCCTTCCCTCCCGCACTCCGGCCCGCACCTGGACGCCACGCCACGCTGCTCCTCACGGGCTCTGCCCTCAGCGCTCCCAACACGGGGCAACAGCGAGCCTCGGCTTTCCCTACGCCAAGTCGCACTGCCCCACCCCAGCCTGTGTCAGCTCTGCTCCGCCACAAGCCGCAGCCGACATCCCACAGTAACAGCCCCCCACCACGCACGTCCCCGAGCGCCGGCGACCACCGCCCTTTCCAGAGGCACCGACCCACCTCTTCTGACGGGAGGCTGCGCACCGCGAGCCGGGGGGGCGCGGCTGCCCCGGGCCCACCCTCTCTTCGCTCTCATTGGTCGCTTGATATGGATTCGCGTTATGATTGGTGTAGCCTCCTTTCGGTCTGTGCGGCGCGCGGCTCCCCATTGGCTGCCCGCCGGCGGGGCGAGGCGAGGATGCCGTGTTTGAATCGCGGGAGGCGGGGGGCGGGCAGCGGCTGCCACGTTGCCGCCGGCGCAGCCCGGCCAGAAGGGGGAGAGGTTCGGCAAAGTCCGGAACCGCTCGGCAATGGCCGGAGGCGGCTGCTGAGGCGGGGAGCGGCTGCCGGCTCGCTCTGCCCCGCTCGGCGCAAGGGGCATCGTGGGGTGGGCGCTGCCGGCTCAGCCGCCCGTGAGGGAAAGGGGCGCGATGCTGGCCGACAGCCTGGTGGAGGAGTTCGAAATCCGAGAGGATGAGCCCTGGTACGACCAGCAGGACCTGCAGCAAGGTGAGCCGGGGCGGCGGCGGGGGGCGTGTGAGGGCAGGGGCCGCGTTGAGCGGGGCGGGTGAGGCGAGGAGCTGCGGGGCAGCGCCGGGCGCGGGCTGTGCGCGGGGGGCCGCGGCGGCACGGCGGCGGCACGGCGGGGCGCCGGGCGGGGCGGGGACGGGGCGCGCGGGGCCCGGCGGCGGCGGGCGCGTCCGTCGTGCCGGGCTCGGAGCGGCGGAGCTCGGGATCCCCGCACGGCCGCTTCCCGCCGCCGCGGGATCGCTGTCACCGGTAACGACTGCGGTCTTTGTCTGAGGGAAGGAGGTGCCGCAGCCCAGCGGAATGGTGCCGGGGTCCCTCTCCGCCCGGAGGGAGGGAAGCGGCTCCCCGGAAAGTTGCACCTTGCGCAGAACGTGAAGGTGCCTTGTTCAGGGCTGGTGCTGGAAGCGCCGGGGTCTGATGCGCTATTGCGCCCTGTTGAGCTCTTTGTCAGGGTTTCCACTCGATGAAGTTGTAGTCGTAGGAATGCTCGATTAGTCGCAGGTTCATTATTAGAAACTCTTTAGGCTGTCTTATTAAAATATCAAATAACTCCGCTACGCCTCAGAAAAACACAAGTATAGCTTCTGTATGTAATTCCATCAGTAGGTCTTAAAACACTACATGCAACACGTAAATGCTGTTCATTTCACAAATGAGTAAGGAGCCATAGGAATACAAGATTGCACTAAAAATCTTTTAACAGGCATGATACGGAAAGAACGTGCTATTTCCTTAGGAGCTTAGTGGCATTTATGACTGGTATTTACTTAAGTTACTTAGTTCTACTTTTTGTTCTTAATCCCGAGTTTGTTTTGAAAGGCGAGTTCAAAGCTGTGGCTTCCTGCAACCTACTCCAGTTTTACACGTTTTGCTTTTATATTGAAATACATTAATTCTTGGGATTGGTGGGTGCTGCTGGACTGTAAACCATAGAGAAAGCTAAGCAGTATTCACACTGAGATCAGGTATCTGACCGCAGAAACTATTTTTGAGACGAGGCCAGGTCTCTCTAATTGTACGCTATAAAAAATAGCTAACTGAAAGCTGTATTTAGGTACTCCTCACCCAAAACTGAAGTTTTCCTGGCTCTAGGATACAAACAAATCAGTTAAAATAAGATCCTGAAACTACAGTTTGCTGTCAAAGGGGAGAGAGTGAAAAGTTTGAAGGCATAATTCAGTAATGTTTTTACTATGTCAGTGTTTATGGAGTTGAAGATGTGCAAAAACACTTTACAATGTATAACGACTGACTTCTTGTCGTTTCTCTGCTTTCATCTTTTAATTAAAATGAGTGGAATAATCACTCTGCTGTCGGCTTTTAAGAAACAGTATTCCATTCTAGAGGTTTAGTGCATTTTGGGGATTTGGTTGATGTACCCTCAACACATGGACACAATCTTTCTGGGGATTCTCTCTTTTTCCTAAATGGAAGCCATGAATAGCCTTGCCAAAAGCAAAAGGAGAAAAATAAAGTGATGAGCAAGTTGAAATGCAAAGAAGAAATTCCTTACAGGAACGTTTTTTAAATGTTGTGCTGTACTTTATTTCTGGGCTCTGAAGGATACTACTCCTGCTGCTAAGGCTAAGACACACGGATGTGTAAACAGGGTAGTAAGTGCTTATCAAGGTCTCGTGAAACTCTTCACAACCCAAACAATCAGTGCATGTTTAAAAACCGATGAGTATGGCTATGAGAACCTAGGTTGTAAAACATTAGAAAGCACCTTGAAACAAGCTTGAAGTCCTTGTCAATTGGTCTTTGAAACTTAAAATGAGGGTAGGGGTTTTGGAGAACTCGACAGTCTTCCTACGCACCAAAGATTTTTGCCTAGACAATGGAGATGGGCTTTTCTGGCATACTGCTCATGCATAAAGTGCTCATGGAATTCTTGTGAGGATGGGAACAGACATCCTTCTGCGATGTTTGCTGAAGTATGCTGACCTTTAAAAAAGAATCTATATGGACTGCTCTTTTTGCATCTTGCTGTTACTCACTTTTATAGAACAGAGGGTATTCTGAATACAGAACAGGAAATAGGAAACTAAGTAGATTAAAAAAAATAATTTTACAATTAAGTAAACTTACACTAGGCTTACTTTTACATTTTGCACAATTAGTGCCTGTTGCTGTTTAAAAGACTAGGCTAATTTTAGACTGAAAATTCTCTTAATAATTTTGTTAGGTGGGTTATGAATAAGCAGAAGAGAAGGATTTTGGTATTGTTTTTATCTTTTTTTCAATGATAGTAATGCAGTCTGAAGAGATTGTGAAGCACTGCTGAGGGTTGTTCAACATCACAGAAGACATCTTTGAAGTCTTGTCTTGGAGATTTCTGATGGAGCTGTTAAACACCAGTACAACTAATCAGATTTACTAAAACAAAGATCTTTAGATTTGCATATATGCATTTTGCATTATTAAAAATCTTTCTGCTTCTGTCTTTATGGTGAAAAGGAAAAAGGCATGTCTGTCAGAATTTAGCTTTGCTTTGCATAAATTTACAACAGAAAATGCAATTCTGCTTCTAGTGTTCTACCATAACTCTCTCCAGAGAAATGTAAATTAATACTTCCCATTTTGTATCTGGAAAACATACATGGCACATCTCTCTTGTAAAATTTGCTCTTTGTAGGGCTTCCAGGTACATGACACTGTGGAAAATGGATGCAAAAAAAAAAAAAAAAAATCTGAATTTTAGAAGAGATTAAATTATTTCAGTACTTGCTTTCTCTAGAGTTGAGGTTTTATTGTATGTTCCTGAGTGCTCCCACTTGTATTTTCCCCCTCAGAAACAAATTGTCTTAATTATAAAAGTGTTTCTCCCATAGTAACCCATTTATGCTTCTGCCAGTCTAACAAACAGAATGGGTGTGAAGTATGACATGAACTCCATTATTCACCTTGTATTCCAAGTACTGTGTGCTATGTGCTATTTGATTAGTAGATGAGGGGGCATTTAAGAATGAAGCTGTAAACTCCTAAATGTACTTAAACATGAAAACAAACTTTCACTTTGGGAAGTGAAATGGTAGTAATTCCATTATGCATTATGTCTTTAACAAAATCCTAAATCCTCTCTAAAGCTTTTTTTCTACTCTATTAATATAAAAGAATAGACTATTTAGTTTTTATCTTGAATGATGCTAGTATTGTTTTAAAGATGGTGGCTCCTAGTAAAGATCTGTGCAGAACAAGAAGCAGGACTCCATTTTCTATAGGATAATGAATTCACTGAATTTGAAGACTACAGTATTCTGTAACGAGATAGAACAAACAGCTTGGTGTTTGACTGGGAGTTACTCTGTCCATGGGTAAACAATGTGCAATCTGTTTACCAAATGGGAAAAATTTAAGCAGGATGCCTTAAGGTTTTCTTATCCAAATACTTTAAATCCTGCTTCATAATGAGTGGTGCCTCAGTGAAAAACTACTGGGAGGATAAACTCCTAAGTACAGACCAATATGCCTTGTGGCTTCTAATTGTATATCTTTTGAAACTGAAGAACTCCCATGCAGTGGGTTTTCTTTTAAATAATTTTTATGGCATTTAAGCTAAGAATCTGACCTTAAGGCAGGAAACAATGCATTGTGGCTGTAAAAATTGTATAAAGAATAGCACAGCTGTTGTTTTGCCAGAATTGGACATCTACAACTTCACAGACAAATGTTTGTACTGACTTGTCCTTGTAAGTCTGAATTTGGTCTTTGGCTTATGTATGGAGATGGAGTAATCATTTTGGACAGGCTGCCAAACTGAAGGTTAGCACAAAACAATCTTGGAGCACTATTGTATGTATTACAGTTCCTAGTGATAAGATAACTGCGAGGGAGCAGGAAAGAGGTAGCATAACATGTTAAAAAAAGGGCATCGCAATCAAATGGAAATGGAATTAATGTGTTTGCTTCTCTGGCTGTAATTACTGATGATGCAATACACGTCTCCTGTTTATTCATTTATGGCGTCTTGATGCGACTCACAGATTTTCTTGACTTTTCTTCTCTTTCTGATTAATGATACAAGTTCTATGTGAGAACTAACTAGGTGGTATTGCATGCATGCAGGTCATGGGTCATGTGATGAGAAGGAGGTGGAAAATAAGCTATTTCTAGAAATCTGTTGGATCCTTGACATGTAGTACCCTCCACAGAGTAACCAGTTTTAGCATTAATTCCAGGATTTATTACTTTGTCACATTATGTTAGCTTTTAAATTACATATGTCTTTCAACATAATAATACAGAATATCTAGCATTTCGGATGCTGTTGAGCAAATATCAAGCTTCCCTCTAGAATGGAGCTGAGTGTTCAGATGACTTATTTCTTAATTTGCAACAGCTACAGTCACTGCACCCTGGAGGTGATTGAAGATGACTGAAGTGAAATTGAGATTAAATGCCTGAGAACAAATGACATTTAAAGTGATGTTTTGGAGCACATGAAACAGTTCTTGTCACCCGAGTTTATGAGCTTGAAAAGCAGAATAGCTGCAAGTCTCCATCAGTTTTATGTCCTTTGATATTATTGTTTCACCATGAAAAGCATCTGAAACCTTCATTTAGCACTTTGATCCTGAGTGGCCTGAACTCTGGTAGAGCGGTAATGGGGAGGAACAGTCAAGTCAATAAAGAGTTCATCAGCTTTGGCCTGGGTCTAGACTGATGAGCATTTATAGGACCTGCTGTGCTTATTCTTCTGAGTGCTGTAAAGAGGGTGAAGCCCAAGAAGCCTTGGGCAGAGCTGGTGCAGACTGGGCACAGTGTGGAGGTGAACATGGCTGGGTGTGTCTGAAGGGCCAGGGGGAAACTGAGGAAGCTTCATGACATAAGAGTGTCCCTGGGTCTCAGGGC